TCTAGAGGACATATTGCGCCCTAACTTGGGTAGCACAGAAGTTGAAACATTATTTGTCATCCTAGAGCACTTACCTCATATCTCGCTTGGACCCATTGAAGTATATTTTTCAGAAGCCTATGCCCACGGGGAGGTTTGCAAGGTGGCAGATCCTGCTTACAGAGTACGACATTATCTATGTGACACGGACTGCAATAAAAGTACATGCATTAGCTGATCATTTGACTTAGAACCCCGCCGATGAAGATTACGAACCTTTGAAAACTTATTTCCCTGATGAAGAGGTGATGCACATTGATGAATTGGAACAAGCTGAGAAGCCGGGATGGAAACTTTTTTTTGATGGGGCTGCAAATATGAAAGGCGTGGGAATAGGAGCGGTACTTATTTCTGAAACAGGTCAGCATTACCCTGTTACAGCTCAGCTTCATTTCTACTGTACGAACAACATGGCAGAATATGAGGCGTGTATATTGGGATTGAGATTAGCTGTAGATATGGGTGTATGGGAAGTTTTGGTCATGGGTGACTCAGACCTACTGGTACACCAAATTCAAGGAGAATGGGAAACACGGNNCATGAGCTTTGTCAGCAGTTTCAGGCTATAGAGTTCAGGCACATTCCAAGGATTCATAATGAGGTTGCCGACACTTTGGCTACTTTGGCGTCGATGTTGCATCATCCAGATAAGGCTTATGTTGATTCGTTGCAGATTCAGGTCCGAGATCAGTATGCTTACTGTAATATGATAGAAGAGGAACTCGACGGCGAGCTGTGGTTCCATGATATCAAAGAGTACATCAGGACGGGAGTATATCCGGTACAGGCCACAAGTGATCAGAAAAGAACGATTCGGCGATTGGCAAGCGGGTTTTTTTTTAGTGGAGGAGTGTTGTACAAAAGAACTCCAGACCTCGGGTTGTTAAGATGCATGGACGCAAGACAGGCCACATCTATCATGACTGAGGTACATTCCGGAGTTTGTGGACCGCATATGAGTGGGTACATTCTGGCAAAAAAGATTCTCCGAGCAGGTTATTATTGGCTCACTATGGAGAAGGATTGCATCAGTTTTGTGTGTAAATGTCATC